CAGCTCCCTTTTAACTACTATGTGCATGAAATACATTTTTCTATCCTTCCACCTTCAGTCTGTGTGTGTCTTCAAAACTAAAGTGTGTCTCTGGTAGAAAGCATGTAGCTAAATCTTTTTTAAAAAATATAGTTTGACCTTGCCTGCCTTTTACTTGTATTATTTAAACCATATTAATGTAAATATGGATAAGCCAGGATTTGTATCTATCTTCTTGTTTTTCTTTACACATTTTATTTCTGTTTACTCACTACCAGCATTTTTTGGTATGTATATCTTCAATATATATTTCCCAGTTAACCTTTGCACTCTGTTTCATTTCTTTCATTATACTTTGTGAAGTTATTTTCTCATTGCCCTGGGGATTACAATTGACATCTTTATAATTACTTGAATTGGAGTAATAGTAATTTAGTTACAGCACTATATGGAAACATTTTTATGTAGCTGTTTTTTTTTCTTTTTATACATTTTATGAACATTAATAGATTTATAATTATTGCTTTATCCAATTCTTTTAAATCAGGAAAAAACAAAGACAAGAAATTCATACTTTTTATATTTTATATTTATAATGCAATTACCTTTGCTGGTACTATTTATATTTACAGTTGGACTCAAATTACTTTTGTAGTATTTTTTTTCAGCCTAAAGGACTCATTTAGTTTTCTTGTAGGTCAGGCCTGATAATAATAAGCAATTAGATTGTTTATGAGAGTATGCCCTAATTTATTCTTTATTATGGATAGTTCTACTAGGTATAGAATTTTTGGTTCACAGTCTTTCTCTCAGAAGTGTATTATACTTTAAATGATGCATAACTTAGCGCCATACAATGTTTTGATACATGTATGCATTGTGCAATGGTTAAATCAGCTTAAACAGGTGTATGCCCACAACCATTTATCATCTCATTAGGGTGAAAACACTCAAACTCCTTTTTTCCAGCTTTCTGTACTCACCCTACTCCTATCTAAAGCCTTACTACTTTAATATGTCATCCCACTGTCTTTTAGTTGCCATTATTTCAGATGAGGCATCTGCTGTTAATACTGTTGAGAATGCCATTCAAGTTTTCTTTGCCTTTGGTTTTAAGTGTGATGTTTCTTGGTAAGATTGTCTTTAAGTTTATGCTTCATGGAGGCAGGTGAGCTTCCTGGACCTGTAGGTTAATGTTCATAAAAAGTTGACAGGTTTTGGTCAGTATTTCTTTCTGTTCCATTACTCTTGTTCCTACATTTTGAGGTCCTGTGATTCATATGTTAATTTGTTTATAATGTCTCACAGCCCTCCAAGGTTTTGTTTATTCAGTCTGAAAAACCCAAAGCTGCACTCCCAGCCCTTCTGATTGTTTTCTTGAATACACTCACTGAATATTGCTGCAACAAATGATTTTTTTTTGTTTGTTTTATTGTTTTTTGGGTCTTTTTGAGACAGGGTCCCTATGCAGCTCAGGCTGGCCTTGAGCTTACTTATGTAGCTAGCCTAGGCTGGTCTTGAACTCCCAATGATCCTCCTGCCTCAGCCTGCTGAGTGCTGGGATTATAGGTGTGTGCCATCATGCCCAGCAACAAATGATTTTCATTAACCTATTTTCAAGTTCTACTCCTTTTTCTCCCTCCTACCTAAATTTACATTTAATATTTCTAATGAACTGTTCTAGTTATTGTACTTCTCATCTCCAGAATTCAGTTTGTTTCCTTGTTATATTATCTGTTTCTGTGAATTTTTTTCTCTCTTTCATGATATACTGCTTTATCTGTTGTAAGCACAGTTTTCCCTAGTTCTTTGACCATAGTTGAAATAGCTGATTGGGTTTTGCTTAGAAGTTAACGTATAGACTTCCTCAAGGATAGCGTCTATTGATCACTTTCTGTGCTTTTTATGGACTATGTTTTCTTTGTGTGTATCTTTAAGAGTTTGTTGAAAACCGGACATTTTAAGTGGTGTAATGTGATAACACTGGAAATCATGTTGCCGTTCCCTCACACTCCTGAATTTGTTCTGGTGGTTTTTGTTTTTTGCTTCTTTGGTTTTTTTGTTTTTTTTGGTACTGAGAATCTAAGTCAGGACCTTGCGCTTGCCAGGCAGGCGCTTATGCCACTGAGCTGTATCCCCATCCCTTGTTCTGGTTTTGGTTATTGTGAATTTGCCTTATGAGTTTTTGAACTACTCTGTAAAGCTTAAATTCTGTATAGCTATGAGATCTTTGGTTAGCTTGGTGCTCACTAATGATTAGAGAGTTTTGTGAGCCCAATAAGTCAGTCTTTGCCAAAGGGATCTTAGGTGTATGGGCAGGCATTCAGCACTCAGCCAAGTTGTTAACAACTCTGAGTTAGCCTTTATTTCCGTGCATCTGGAGAGTTTCAAGATTAGATTGTGGTGACAGCTGAGGTATTTCTTAGGATTCTGAGTTTGTGTATGATCCTACACATGCATGCAGATTTCTGGGAATATACTGGAGCTTTTTAAAGCCTCTTATGGACATCTTATTTTTCAAGTTTTCCCTTTTTTTATGGGAGAGGATTGTGTTTTGGGGATCAAACCCAGGGTTTTGTGCCTATCAGTCAAGCTTTCTACCACTGAGCTACATTCTTGAGTTTTTAAATTTTATTTTATTTTATTTTTTTTTTTTGATTATCCTGTTTTCTGCCCAGCTGTTATTCACCATCTCAAGCAGTGGCAATATTCAACAATTGCCTGTAGTTATTTTAACAAACACTTCACATGGAAAAGGGCTGTTCACATTAAGTGTGCTCCAAAGTCAGATTAAGTGAGGTAACCTGACCAGTGAGGTCGTCCAGGGAACTACTAAAGAAGTCCCTTAATGTCAGTGCTCTGGGAATGGTAATTGGAGGATGCCCAACCCATTTGATGCCCACCAGTGTCTGCCAAGCTACTTGATTTTCATCTTGAATGCAGGCTATTTGTTTTTAAGGCTACCATGGAGCTTTAGGGAAGGTGAACATAGCATGAGTTAAAAACACCACCAAAATGATACTTCTTACAGAGACTCTGGGTTTGTTTGTGGTGCTGGAATCAAAGCTAGGGGCTCATGCATGATAGGCAAGCCCTCTACCACTGAGCTGCACCCCAGCCCTTCTGATTTTTTGTCTTGAGTAAACTCACTGAATATTACTGCAAGCCTTTTGTTAATTTCCAGATTTGTGAAAATTTGATTCTAATCATTTAGTCTCAATGCTTTTTGTGGAGGAGAAAAATTTCAAAGATCCTTATTCTGCCATTTTTGATGACGTCTGTGTAATGGTAATTTCTATGCAACTGTAATATTTCTTGTGCATTTACTAGCTGAAATTCTTTGAAGAACTTTAGCTTATGGGCTGACTGGCTGTCATTGAATCATTTAGAGATAAATGACAGGATGAATGTATGGTTAGGGTCTTTAATTAACAAATTTCAGAAATTTTAACGTATGTTCATTTTGATGGAAAATCATATTTGAAATCATACCTTGTCTAAATGTCTTTCTTTTTCCTGAAAAGTTTTTAATTTGAGGCTTTCTCAAGGATAAACATGTGAAGTATATTATTTTTAAGAAAGAATTTCAACTTTGTTTGGCTTTTGTTTTGTTTGTTGGTTGGTGTTCTGAGACAGGATATAAAGCTATTTAGATTAGGCTGGACTCACTTGTGGTCCTCCTGCTGCCTCAACCTCTTAAGTGTTGGGATTATAGACAGATATGACTATGTTCAACTTGAAAGTATTGTTTAAATCATGAGTTCATACTTTCTACTTTCCATCATCAAGATTACAGGTTGTTTTTGTTTCATTTTACACTGAAACTCTTGGCTTCTGACATTTCCTTATACCCAATAAATATAATTTCAAAATAATAGACTACTTAAAAGAAGTTTACACTCTTGGTTATTTCACCCTTTCTTTCTTTGAATATATGTGTATTTTTATCAGCACGGGTCTGCAGTACATGTTTACATTCCTGTGTGGAGTGAGAGTGTGCACATTGCACATTTTAGCTGCCCACCCACACACTTCCCTTGGTCCAGGTCCCATTTGAGGCAAATCTATCTCTCTACTTGCTATGATCTATTGTTTAGTTTTGCTCCTTTATAACATGGAACCTCATATAAGAGAAACCATGTGATATTTAAGTTTGTGGATCTGATTTATTTCATTTAACAGTATGGTTTTGAGGTGCATCCGTTTTTCTACAAATGACTTGAGTTTATCCTTCTGTATGGCAGAGTAGTGCTCCATTGTATATAAATGCCACATTTTCTTTATCCATGCATCTGTGATGGACATGTAGGCTGCTTCCAAGGTTTAGCTCTTAATGTATGTGTTGCTATAAACATGGGTGTTCATGGATCCCTGCAATGTCTTTAGCCCTTTTAGGAAGATACTCAGAAGAGGATTAGATAGGTCAAATCTCTGACTGGGGCTATATAGCAATAATACTGTTTTAGCCAAAAACTAGAAAGCACTCAAATGTCCAGCAATGATAAAGTTGTTGTGTTGTGGTATATTCACATAGTGGAATATGATATTGAATGAGAATTAATCACAACTACATGCGCTGATATAGACGGATATTCCCAAAATTGTATGCAAAGAATCCAGACATAGCTTAAATTTTTACATTGCATATTCATGTGTATACATCAAGGATAAATATAATCAAAACAAATGTATTCTGAGAGAGATGACTATTGGGGAGATTGGGCCTGGAAGAAAGTAGAAGAGATTCTCTTACACTCTTAAGTTTTCTGTGTCCTGGCTTGGTGTTTTTTACCTGGGTATACTACACTTGGGAACTGTCTTTTTTTATGGATGGAGGGTGCTGGGGTGTAAATCTAGGGCTCAGTCATGCTGATGAGAGCTCTACCACTCAGCTACATCTCTGGCCTTTTTGATTTTGAGACAAGGTCTCACTAAATTGTACAGGCTGGCCTTCAGCATGGGAGCATGGTGTGCCAGGTATCACTGTCCCTAGCAGTGAGCTGGGTGCTTTGATTTTCCAGGAGAACGTGTGCCTGCCAGGGGCTGGACCCAGAGACCTGCGGTGCCTCCTTCTCTTTTGGCTGTTCATGGAGCATGTACTATAACGGGTGTAAGTTTGCCAGAAGCAAGGTCCCAAGGAAGTTTAAGCTGCATGGAGATGACCCAAAAGAGGTTAGTGTACTTCCTGATACACGACCAGTGTTTCCTAGAGAATGGATGGGCCTGGATGAAGTGAACTGTATGACCTGTTCTGTTCTCATTAACCGAGGGAAATTTCATCTCAGATGAATACAATTTTTGATTAAGCTGTGAACACATTAAGATCTTATAAATGTAGCTATGTTACATCAAAGTAATAGATAAAATTTGAGCAGATCAATTCTTCCTATTTATGCCATTCTGCATTTGTTATGTTGATCCAGACTTTTAAAGGGCTATGTGTCTTCATTTTTTAAAGTACAGGAAGATTGGTGATTCCTTTTGTCTATTGATTCTGAGTTACAGGAGTCATGTTCATGGATGCCATATTCAGAAAAGGCCATTTCTGGTCATATTTCCATGCTATATGATTTAAAGTTACCAAAATGAATTTACTCAAGTAACTAAAATATAAATTTTTATGTAAGTGTGCAATTGACTTTTCATGAAGCCACTGGCATTTTTTCTTTCCTCCAGAGTGTACATTACTTAAAATGCAATTTTTAAATTGATATCAGACTTCACAACATTGAGGACAGCACATGGTCTAGAATATGTTAACTGAATAATCAGAAAATCTTGTTGATGCATGCTTATTATCCCAGCTACTCAACAGGCGAAGGCAGGAGGATCACAAGTTTGAAGCAACCTGAGCAACTTAGTGAGACCTTGTCTCAAAGTAAAGTCCTGGGGATGTAGCTCAGTGGTAGAACACTTGCTTAGCATGTGCTAGACCTTTAATTCAATTCTTAGTATTTTAAAAAAAAAGAGAAGGAGGGAGGAAGGGAAGGAGAAAAAGATGGAAGGAAGGAAATTAAGAAGAAAGGAAGGAAGAGAGGGAGGGATAAAAGGAGGGATATTAATGTATTCAGCATTTGGGTCTGACCATATTTTCAGCCTCCACACCTTACACTTTATACTTTTATATTTTAAGTACAGTTAAGATTTATGCTATAAAATATTAATGTTATATTTCCCTAAAAGGAAAATGTCATAACTTTACTGTTGGTGACTGTAGTAGTAAATGAAGGCATCATGAGCTACAAAAGCTTTTTTTTTTTTTTTTGGTTTTTTTCCAGTATGAGGAATCAAACTCATGACCTTGTGCCGAACTCACAACCTTGTGCTTGCCAGGTGCAGCTGAGCTAAATCCCACCCCTACTAAAGCTCTTAAAATTATGATAGAAACTTTTTTCAAAGGGACATAATTTTTCAATAGTAAATATATGTAAGCTAGTCACCTTTTCATAAAATAAGAACATATATTATTAAACATGAAAAAAGCAGCATTCCATATTGAGCTTCCCCCCAAGAGAAATTGTTCACCACTTTAACCACTTTCCATTCAAACCTGACCCAGCAGTCGGAAGCCTCCTCCCTCTACCATGCAGAAGAGCTCCACATAGAGACCACACCTTAAAGCTTAGGTCCCTTCTAACACTTAAAACAATCTTGATTATTAAGGTCTATTTAATTTAAAAATCTAATATAAAAATGGCCCTGACCCAGTCAGGGGATGAGCGCTTTGGGGAGGGGATGGGGTGTTCCTGCTGACCGTCACAAGGCATGCCCTGGCTCCGTTTCTATGTTTGTTTGTTTGTTTTTGTATTTTTTTGTTTTTTTCCGGTACCGGGAGCCGAACTCACGACCTTGTGCTTGCCAGGCAGGCGCTTTGCCACTGAGCTAAATCCCCAGCCCCGACTGGCTCCGTTTCTATGTTTCCCACTGTCTGGGGTCATCGGGGCCTGGCCAGATGCCATCGGCACCCACCCACCTGCCACAAAGGGACTCACAAAGGGACAGAGTCTGCACAGTGTCCCTTATCCATGTGACCACCTGCTGTCGTCCCCTAGGGCACAGAGCAACTTGGAATCCAAGCAGGAATTTGAAATGAGAATGTCCGAGTAGGACTGAAACATCTAAGTCATCATCTACCATTTTCAAAAGCATAGTGCCTGGAACTTCACTGTTCGTGAGCAGGAGTAGTGGGAGTTTGACTGCGTCCCCTCTTGCAAATGAACATTTAAATCAAGCTCCAAGAAATTGTGTCAACCTCTGAAGCATCCAGTGATCTTAAGTGTTCCTTGAAGATCACTGCAACCTCGGAAATGCTATCTCTGTAGACAGAAAGATTGTAAATAGATACGTGGAGCCCCCAAAGCCCTTGAATGTCCCTCTTCCTCAGCAGGTGACAGGACAGTGAGATGGAAAATGTGACCCTTGAAGGCCCCATGTTTCCTTCACCTCCTCCTACCCAGCAGAGGTCTATAGCTAGTTGCATGCAAAGCAGACGATCTTACCGGACATACATATTTAATAATTCATATAATGCAAGTGATATTAGAAATAGTCATATTTTTCAGATGATTTAGTTATTTAATAAGAAAAACTAATAGAAGTACAAGTGTTCCCCTCAAGATCTGTTCAGAGTAGAGAACCTTCTGGGTTATCTTCCGTAGTTCGCCTTGTGTAACCTTGGACAGGAATTAAAATTTGAAAATGTACACAAAAACCTTTACCTCATCAAAAGAAAGGAAGAGAGGGTGTTTTACATCCTGCATTTGAGGGAATGATATGACAGCCTTTTTAATGTATAGAAAACAGATATAGAATTGAATGTGTTAAATTCTTTTTATACAGGAAGAGAAATTAGAGTCTCACTTGCAAAACCTGGCCACTCTTATCGCGCCAATATACAAGAAACTTGCACCCGATGCCTACAATAATCAGGTGAGTTGAAATTATTGGTAGTAAATTTACTGATTAGTAAATGTCAAATATTTCTGAAGCAATAATTTTTCTGTACTTTTGTAACTTTTCCTCCTTCTAATTCCTGAAGCCTCTGGTGTTTCTGGCATATCAAGCTGTACGAGATCGAAGAGCACATTTTGGTCCTTTTAGCTTTAAAGGCAATGATTTTTTTTTCTTTCTTTTTTTTTTGGTTTTTCTCTGGTACCGGGAACCAAACTCACGACCTTGTGCTTGCCAGGTGGGCACTTTTGCCGCTGAGCTAAGTCCCCAGCCCCTAAAGGCAATGATTTTTTTAGAATCACAGCTATTCTAGTTCCTATCCTCATTGCCTCCTTAAGTAGGTTTTGGATGATTACACCAAATTATATGGCCCCAACTATAGCTTTTTTAATCACCTATTAACGACTTTTCATAGGATGTCTGGAAAGCTGTGAGCATACTGCACTGCAAGCATACATATGTGTGTCCCAGTGTGTCACATTTTGCCATACTTTGTTTGGTTTTGGCTCTATGCACCAAGTACAATTTTTTGTTGCCTATTTTGTATATATTCCAGCTAGACAGTAGGTGATTTTGTTGGAAATTGCTCATGAGAAAGACAAAAGACTATGAAGTCTCCACTGTTGCAGTAACAACAACCAAAGAAGTCACAAGCAAAAGCTGTTCCCCATTTATTCATTTAAGATCCTCAGTGTGGCTTCTTGGGGTTAAATTGCTTATTAAAGGAGACAGGGACAGTGCGACAGCAGTTATCAGTGCACTAGTGAGATTGTTGTCACTGGGACAAAATGTCTGTACCTACACCTTAAGGGAGGAGAGGTGTACTTTGGCTCATGGTTTCAGAAAGTGCAGTCCATGGTCAGCTGGCTACATGGCAAGAACATCATGGTGGAAGGGTGTGGTGGAGCAAAGCTGAGCAGTTCGTGGCAGCCAGGAAGCAGAGAAGGGGACAGGACCAGGGAGGAAGGAAACAGGGACCAGATATAGTCTTTGAGGTCATACATACCCTGTGAACCACTTCCTTCAATAGGCCCCCTCCTCAGCAGCTAGGAAAGCTGTGTTCTGGCTTCCCTCGTTGTCTCAACCCCTCTCAGTACTCTCTGGACCCATTTAAGTTGACAGTTGGGGTTAGCTAGCACAGCAAATAACATAAAAGCAGCTAGAATAGAGGGCTGTGCACACTTCTGAGAGAATGTCAAAGGGTTATTCCTAAAAATATAATATCACAAATGTCCCTGGATGCCAAATCTTTGGACTGTTCTGGAGGTTAACATTGGAGCATGAGCTGATTTAATCCATATTTTCTGAAAGGTCACTCAATGAGCCTCTGCCTTAATCGAGCTATTTTATACATTTCCTGAACTTGAAGTAAGCAAAATATGAAGCTGCTCAAAATATTTCTAAAGTTATAACAAAATCTTAGTTTCTCAAAAATGAGTTTCAGTGTTCACATTTGGAGTAAATATATGTTATAGGTATGGTGACCATGAAAACGAAACCAGTTAATACTTTTAAGTGGATAAGGTTTTTAATATTGCATGGTAGATACTGTGAGTACTGTCCATTGCTATCTGTTATTGACTTAAAAGTAAAAGTAGCCATCTCACCCTCACACATAGCACATGTAAAGAACATCTGATATTGTGGGTCATAAAACTGGCATTTGATCTTTACCCCCTCTCCTCTACTGAATTCCCTCTCATCTCACATTTAAACATCCTTCTTTGCTTTATTCCCTGATTTCATAACATTTTCTTGCTATGTTAAGCTTTACTGGGTCTTGACAGCATTTCTTCAGCTCTAAAGATCCTTCTTCTCCCATCTCTGTGGGAGACATATACTTTTTCTATGATTTTCTCACAATGAAACTTGAAATTGTACGTTCACATCTCAGAGTTATGTACTGTCCATCATTTGTGGAGATGAAATATTAGACAAATGCAGCCCAAGAGCACTTTCTGTGATGGAAATGCCCTGCTTCCGCTATTCAGTGTCATAGTCACTGGCCCTGTAGATTTTAAACTCTTGATGTGTGGCTGGGGCGACCGTCTTAACATAATCTGAGCCCAGGAGAAAGCTGAAAACTTTGAATTGTTGTCCAAACATAGGAACAGATTTCTAGTGACCCATTCACAATGTGCTACATGTGCCCAGTGGGAAATAATAAGAAACCATCAAAAACTTACTGGGTTGTGAGCTCGTCACCTACATTTATAGCGTGGCTACAATCTCAAGGAAGAGAAGGCTTTGCTGAGGAGAGGTCATGATGGCCTTGGAAGGTTGAGCTTGAGTCTTCAGGTACTGACCAGGGGCTGTATGTAGAGAATGTACCAGTGCCGGGGTAGAACCATCCAAAGACACAGACAGGATGCTCCTTTGAGCTCCCAAAGGACCTGAAATCGTTCTGCTCCCACCAGCCAGTGGGAGACTTCCTAACACACGGGATACTGAGTATTGTGTTCAGAATGATTCTGCTTTTGCCAGAAGCAGATTGGCTGCTCTGGGTCCATCTAAGAGCCCTTAAGATCAAGGATCTAAAGGATCAAACTGATTCAAAGTAATTTAACAGTATTGCAGAAGAAAGACTTTCTTAAAAAAATCCAACAACCAGCAAGGTATAATATCCAGCATCCTCTTAAAGCTTGTCAAAACACCCACCCTAGAGACTGTTACATAAGTGACAAGAAGTAGACACCTGTCAACAGAAGTGTCCCAGAAATGACACAGCTGACAGAATATGGAGACCTGGGGCTTCACATAGTTATGTTCTGGACATTCAAAACAGTCATAGGAAGCCATGAACCATGAGCAGCGTGAAGGAAAAGAAAAATCAATTTTAAACTGTTAGAAATAAAACATTTCTAAAACCTAAATATAAAAATACACTATGTGCAGTATTAACAGCCTGAGCTTAGTAAGCTTGCAAACATAGCAATAGAGTTTTTAATATAAAGACAACAAACGTAACTGAGGAAGAATGGAACTGATCAGAGGCCTACAATATATACTGCTGTATGTGTAATGGAAGTCCTATAAGTTTTTTTTAAATTCTAAAAATAACAGACACTTTTTTCACATTTCTCAAATGATGCTGTATACCTATAGATAGGAGAACATCAGCAAATCCTAAATTTAAAAAAGCCACAATGAAAACTACATAGAAGCATCATAATCAATTTGTTTATAATTAGTGGTAAGGAAAATAAAACTTCATGTGGAAAGTAACCTAAAGACATAAGACTATATGTCACAAAAAGAAAGAAATGCGTAAGATCTTTCAAATACTAAAAGGGGCACGGACCCTACCAACTCAGAAAACTAATCAGTACAAACAGCTCTCAGAAGACAAAAAAAAAAAAATACCATTTTTTTCAGACATGAAAGCTGAAGGAATTCACCAGTAGCAAAATTTAGCTAGTGGTGAATTCCACTAGCTTCCTTAAAATGTAAGGGAAGTGATTGGCCAGATAGAAAACCATACAAGATAAAGACCTAGATTTTTTTATTTGATTGGTTTGGTTTTTTGAGATGGGGTCGTACTGTGTAGAGTTCAGCCTGGCCTTAAACTCACTGAAGTCCTCCTGCCTCAGCCTCCTGAGTGCTGGAAAAATGTCTTTAAAACTTTTATTTGAAAATGTAATCACAGTGAAGATGTATTCACAATATACACTGAGGTCCATATCATGTGAATCTAGAAACCGGAACTATACTGTTGTAAGGTTCTTACACTGCAGGTGGACTCGTGTTATTTGGCTGTCAGACTTTAAAGCAAACACCCTTAAAATGTGTGTAGGTCAGACTGGAAAGAGAAAAGTGGAACCACTTCAAAAACATTATTTTAAACAGATGGAACAAAAAAGGTGAGACACATAGAAAACAAAGAGATGGTATATTTAAATCCATCTACATCAATCACCCTATTAAATATAAATGTTATTAACACTGCATTGAAAAGGCAAAGCTAAGAAAAGCCCTTTAATCATAAAGACACAAGCTAGAAGTTGGAGGATTGGGAAAATACATCGTGCTCACACTGATCAAAAGAAAAGCCAGAACAACTATAGAGAGGGTAGATTTCATTACAAGAACAAAGAATGTCATTTAATAATGGGATTGATGACATCAAGAGAGCATGATAGTTCTAAATTGTTAACCATAACATCTTCAAATTTTATGAAACAAAAGCAAAGAATAGAAAATCGACAACTACAGTCAGAGATTTAAATGCATCTCTTAATAATTAATAGAATGAGTAGGAAGCAAAACAGGAGAAAACTCAACACATTTAACCAACTTATGAAGCTATCAATAAAATTTAAAGCTTCATATAAATAAATGAGATTAAATTAAAAATCTGTAACAGAAGGGTGCCTGCAAAATCCCTAAATATCTGGAAATTGAGCAATGTACTTCTAAATAACCTATGGGCCAATGAAGAAATCACGTAGGCAATTAGAAAGTAAAACTGAATGAAAATGCAGAAATGGTAATGAAATCTGTGGGGTGCATGTATAAACTGAGATGTTTATAGCATTGAAACATAAATGTAAAGTTTCCAGTCAGGAAACTACGTGTGTGCCCTGAGAAACTTGAAAATTAGAGAACAGTTTAAGCCCTGTGGGTAGAAGAAAGGACAAACTAAAAACAACAGAAATCAGGGAAATAAAATAGAGAAAGCAAGAATACTGTAAATGAGTGAACCCCAAAGCTGGTACTTGGAGACCATTTGATCAGGAGCAACAGAGATAGAATAAATTATCCATGCCAAGAATTGGAGGCAGGAGGTATAGGTCTGTGTACACACACACACACACACACACACACACACACACACATACGAAACATCATTAGTAACTTTGTATACCAGTAAATTCCGCAAGTTACATGAAATAGAGCCTTTGAAAGATACAGCTAACAAAACTTTCAAAGAGAAAACAAGACAACTGTGACCAGCCCTGTACCTATTAAGTTGATTTGTAGCTGAAAGCCTTCCACAAAAAACACCCCACACCCAGGTGAGTTCCTTAGCAGATGATCCCAGCACTGTGGAAATTCTTCCAAAATTGGAAGAGCTGCAAACGTTTCCCAGTTCATTCTCTGCAGCTGGTAACATCCTAGTACTAGGACTAGACAAAGGCATTCAAGAAAAGGAAATCTACAATCCAATCTTTATGGCTATGGATGTAAAAAGTCTTAACATATCAAATTTGACAGAATAGAAGAGAGAAAATGGAGCTCATGTCAGGAATGCACGACACGTTTGACTCTCAAAGTCATTTTCCATATTAACAGATGTAACAGAAAAAAACATGATTCCACAACAGATGCAGGGAAAGCATTTGTCAATATTCTACATCCATAGAAAGGAGCTTTCTCTGTCTAAAAAGATAAAACTCCAGGATCTAAATTATGCTTCCTTCCTAAGATTAAGGCCAACAGAAGCATGTGTATTCTTATCACTTCTGTACTTATGTGTAGATGACATGCTTATCTATAGAGAAAGTCTCTCTCAAAATCTAAAAAATAATCATCATCTCCTAGAACTATTTGGAGCAAATTTGCACACCAGTAGCTGTGGTTCCCACAGTTCTGTCTTCAGCTCCACCCTGCTTCCCTTGGCAAAAAATGCACTAAATCATCTCCAAGTTTGGAGGAGTCAACCAGCGACAGCAGCAGAGCCACCAGATGTGTGCGCTTGATTTTCGTGACAAACACAGTGAAGTGACCTTAACTGGGGGAGCCCCTTTCTGCAAAAGCAGAGCCAGATAGATAGAATCTGCCCCAGTGGGCTGAGTCACCCAGAAGGAATGGGACGTGTGCCACACACCAGCTGATAGAATACGGAACCGTTCCACAATGAATGCAGCATTGAAAGTAAAAGCACTGTCTCAAAGGACCTAAGAGCATTGCAGGCCTTAAAAAATTCCTAGAACTGCAAATGAGCTTAGCGAAGTGATATAATACACACATTTTTATATACTAGCAAAAACTAAAAATTAAAATAAGAATAACCAACAACTAAAATAGCATCATAAATACAAAATTCTTAGGCATAAATTTGACAAAAATCTATTTGATAAAGTGGAGAGCTACACCATGTTCGTCCACATGACTAAACATTGCTAAATGTCAAGTCTTCCCAAATTAATGGACGAATTTAGTATCAAAATCTGAGCAGGGTTTTTGAAAAAATCAACAAGATGGAAAAAACATACGCTATACAGTGGTACCTCCGTTCACAAACTTAATTTGTTCCATAATTCCGGAGAAGATGGCTTTGGTCGTGTTTGTCACCCAACGCAGAGTTCAAGAATGGATGTAAAATTTGCCAGATGCTTTTGCAAAACGAATTGTTCATAAACAGAAGCGATTGTGAACTGAGGTATTTACTGTGTGTGTATACACATGCATGCATGCATGCAAAACACCCGTCATATTCAATTTTTTGAAGAACAGAGTTGATTCCAGGATCACAGAAACACCCCGTACTTGCTAGTAATCAAGAAAGCTTGTTAAAAAAAAAAGAGACCTTGTTACTGATGTGTACACGCATAGCATTATATACCAATGGATTAGAAACAGTTCAATCACAGTCAACTGATTTTATTTTATTTTTATTTTATTTTTTTCCTCTGGTACCGGGAACCGAACTCACGACCTTGCGCTTGCCAGGCAGGCGCTTTTGCCGCTGAGCTAAATCCCCAGCCCCTCAGTCAACTGATTTTAACAAAGGCAGTTGAATCTTCTCTTCCAGTGGTATTTGAACAATTGGCTGGGCATATGGAGTGCATACACACACCCAAAAAAGTAACCTCGATGCTTAATTCACACCATGTATAAAGATTAACGCCTCCAAATGGACCCATTTAAAATGCAAACTAATCTGCAGTGGCAAGAAGCGGATTAGTAGCTGTTTGCAAGCAAAGCAGGAGATGAGAATTCCAAAGGTGCATGAGGAAAACCTGGGGTCCAGTGGAAATTATACTTAATTTTGTGTTTGGCGGTGGCTGCACAGATGTACGCTGCTTATGAGTGAGTAACTGGGGGCTGAAGACACAGCTGGTTAGTGGAGCACTTGTCTTTCATGTGTGAGCCCTGGGTAGACCCAGAAGGATGCAGAACCATCAGAAGCCTATGTCAAATATACCTCAGTAACTGCAGAATATAAACAGAACCATGTCAAGGAATTTGCTCTATTTTGGGTCATTCCATTTGTTCCTGGATGTCAGACACAAAGCATTCCTGGAGGTTGGGACACAGCCCAGGCACCTGGGGATGTGTTCCTCCAGGTGTGAAGCCAGTCCCCCTACATGTGCCTTCTTGTCTTCCTCAGGTGGAGTACGAACACAGAGCCCCCGAGTGCCGCCTGGGGCTGAAGGAGGGCCGCCCGTTCTCAGGGGTCACAGCGTGCTTGGACTTCTGCGCCCATGCCCACAGGGACCTGCACAACATGCACAATGGCAGCACGCTGGTGAGTGCCCATGTCCCACCCACGAGCCACGGTCGCAGGGTGAGCTTCCTTGGCGTAAGTTGCACACTGCTACCAGGCGGGCACAGTGGTGGAAAGTGTACTGATAACAGGCATGAGGACGGGGACGGGGGTTCGCAGGGCCAAGCTGAGCCAGATCCAAGCATCGCCTGTCCAGTTAGCCGCCAGAAGCCGCTCTCCCCTTAGAGTCTGTGCCCAATAGATTACACACAGTTGAGCAGAAAACCACTCAACAGCCAAAGGGCCTGCCACTGTGCCACATGGTGCCGGTAAAGGACACCCTGCCCCTGTCGCTGTGTGCGCTGTCCCGAGCCATAGTGCGGCAGGCCATTCTAACTGGCAGCCCAGGTTGCCACTGTGATGGGAACAGCGTGGATGAGGACTTAGACAGAGGCACCTGTTCCCTACTGATGAAGCCTGGTGCTTCACCTTGGCTGTAAAGGGACCATCCTGGGTGCAGATTAAGAGGAGGAAAACAACATGTAGAGACAGGCATGGGGCTACATGCCCGTAGTCCCAGCTGCTCAGGAGGCTGAGATGGGAAGGTCACTTGAGCTCATGAGTTCAGGACCAGCCCACGCAACATAGTGAGACCTTGTCTCAAAAGGAACAAAGAAAGTTCTGGTGAAGAAACTTTCAACTATAGCTGAGTCACCCTAACGTATTACCAACCTGGTCAAGTTGAGGAACATGTCCATCCAGGAAACTTGAGATGAAGCATATGTCCCAGGCAGTAAGGCCACTCTAGCGTGGCAGGGGGCTGAAGTGGTATAAATGACAGCCGGGTCACTTTGAGGAACCGGGAGTAAAGCTTTTCAGGGAAGCAGAGAAGGTATTAGCTTGATGTCCTAGATCAGAACTTGGAAAACTATAAAGGGCAGAGGGTATTTAATTCAACTGCTCAGAAATGCAAAAGCCATTTCCAGTGTGCTGGCTGTGGGGGCCTCTTTGCTGGTGTACACCCTGGGAGAGTGAGCCCCGAGCCTGTCACCCACCCTGGCGACTGAGCTGTGAAGTCTCCCTTCCCACCAGGTGTGCACGCTCACGAGAGAAGACAATCGAGACATGGGAAGCACGCCCGAGGACGAGCAGCTGCACGTGCTGCCTCTGTATAAGATCTCCGACGTGGATGAGTTTGGGAGTGTGGAGGCTCAGGAGGAGAAGAAGCGAAGCGGCGCCATTCAGGTGCTGAGCTCCTTCCGGCGGAAGGTCAGGATGTTGGCAGAGCCGGCCAAGACCTGCAGACAGAGGAAACTGGAGGCCAGGAAAGCAGCCGCGGAGAAGCTGTCCTCGCTGGACAACAGCTCCAATAAGACCGAGAAGGAGAAGGCAGCCTCTCTGCGGGCAAAACAGGTGGAGCCTGGGGGCCAGGCCAAACCGCTGACAGGTAAGCAGGTGTGTGTGCTGGGTTAGCACATGGAAGCCTGGCAATGTCAGGCCAGGAGGTCGTGTGCATCATGGTCTTAGTTCCGTACCAGAATCTTCCTTAACGTACCACTCACTCACTAGGTTCTGCTCTTGGAAATGATGTACCTGGGGTTGATGGAGAAGTTTGGATCTTATTCCATAATAAACTGGAAAAAAAAAGTAATAGGATGAAACCAGTGTCAACCCCACAATGTGGCCACATGAAAGCACTTGTGGACATGTATATGGAGCCAAGAGAAGTGGACACGACCTTGGACTTGGATGGTGGCAGTAAAAATGTAGCAAGAATCACACAGTCACACATTTTAATTCTTCCAAAATGAAAGAAGTCATACCCTAGGGATGAAATGTTGGAGTGAAGGAAAAAAAAAACTTGAAAATGACTCCAGCTGGATGCGGTGGCACACGCCTGCAATCCCAGCATTAGGGAGGCTGAGGCAGGACAATCACTGCAAGTTCAAGGCTAGCGTGGGCTATAGTGAACTCAAGGTCAGCCTGGACTACACAGGAAGACTATCCCAAAAAAAAAAAACTTTAAAGTTTTACACCTACATTTGATACAAGTTTGAAAAAACATCCTTTTCCTTAGATGCACTAGTCTGTACTTTAGGAGGTCTATGAGTAGCTCTCCTCTAAATCCCATCAAAAGATGATACACATGTAGTTATAGCAGCAGAGCATTATTGCACAATACTAAGTTGATGTTCTCTTTCCATGTTCCTTGGCCCCACATCTACAGTTGGTACTATTAAAAAGAAATCCAAATTTTGAAAAAATCAACTACAAAAAATGTATCTTTTAAGTTGATTGTTTCAGTTTGCTTAGAATCAACCATCTCTGCTTGGCAAAGCAAAACAAACTTACTTAGAATAATAAGCTAAAGATGCCTACTAATTCTTTGTGATTGCTGGCCTTCCTTAAAGAAATCAAACCCATTTGAGTAGCTTATGGCCCCTTTAGATCAGCGGCACAGTAGAACCAGACAGAACTCCTTTCCTGGTCCCTTCTCACAGGTTCTTGGAGATAATAGTCAGTCATCACAGTCCCATTTATTCGTTTTTATTAACTCAGGTGACTTCATGAGTGAGGTTAGGAAACAGAAATATGACTTCTAACAGTTTCACTTACCAAAATGAACATTTCTTTAAAGTATTATCTACAACCACATAAATTTCCTTCAGGGAAAGCCTCACCAGGAAGTAGGGTTTGCTAATTTAATTGAATGCTTTTTGTTTTTAAGTAAACCTCATCCCTTGTCTTAAAACACTTCTCCATCTTCCGTTGCAAATCTTAGGCTACTGCATTTGAATTTTATAACAAATGTTGCTGTACGCCAGGCTGGGGGCACGTGAGGCTGCAGTGAGATCTGTTCACTTCCCTCTAGGGACTCTGCATAGCCCATTCCCACCCACGGGGCGAGTGCAGAGTCAGGCCCGTGTTTGGTTGCTACGGCAGAAGCTTACGGGATGAGACTGGGACACCCCAATGCCCCAGATGCCCCAGGCCTGCCTTAAATGTGTCTTACATGATCACCCTGAAATGTTCTGCTTTTTGCTTTTGATGCTATAGACACCGAGGTTATATGGGACACTGATCAGAACCCTGTCTTTGCTCTGGTTGCGTTGTGGGGGAGTTGGAGGCATAGTAGTCTTTCTCAAGTACACTGAAGTATCCTCACTGAGCACGCCTGTACCCTCTCTCCCTCTCCACAGAACTGCGACCTTCAGGACCAGCCACACAGCAGCCCCCTCCACAGCCCCCACTGCAGAGGCCGCAGCCACAGACAACTCCCCAGGCCCCCCAGGCTCCCCAGGCCCCCCAGACACCGCAGCAAACCTTGCCTGGGAACCCCCAGGCCGAGTCCATTGGCACCTACTCCTCTGCACCCCCCGGCCTATACATGAGACGACCCAACCCCATCAGCCCTTACCCAAGCTCTTCCCACGCGGCAGACGTGTACAGAGGCACCAGCCCCATGGGCCTCTATTCCTCCTCATCCCAAGCTGCAGGTTCATATTTGAGTTCTGCTAATCCCGTGAGCGCCTACCCTGGGCTCATGAATCAGAATAACCAATATCCAGCCTATCAGCACAACGGGACCGTGTCCATGGACAACTACCCTTCCTATCTGGGCTCTTACTCTTCCCAGCCTCCGCCAGTGGATCTGTACAGGTACCCAAGCCAAGACCATCTGGCTAAGCTAAACCTCCCGCCCATCCACAGCCTCTACCAGCAGAGGTTGGGAAACACCCAGAGTTTCCCCTCCAAGTACTTGGGCTATGGGACCCCGACCATGCAGGGCGATGCCTTCAACACCTGTGCCGTGAGACCCGGAGTCCACCATGTAGGGCCCTTTCCTTCTTACACCACCCATGAGCTGGACAGCCACTTCATGGGCACCGCCTCCAGATGTCCGCCCAGCCTGGGCCATCCCAAGGTGGACTATAAGAATGGCGAGCACCACCCGGCTGCCCCCCTGCTCCCTAACTACAGCGTGGCGGCGGGCAACATCAGCAGCTCCCTGCACGCCCTGCACCTGCAGAACAAAGAGAACGCCGGGCTTCCGCACACCACCAACGGGCTGCCTAGGATACCCACCGGGTGCCCTCTGGACAGGCCCCCGTCCGTCCAGGGGCTGCTACAGAAGCTCAGCGAGGCCAACCCGCAGGAAAAGCAGCCAGAGACACCCTCACAGGGGTCGGCGCCCGAGGACAACGACGAGGTGTGGTCGGACAGTGAGCACAGCTTCCTGGACCCTGACATCGGTGGCGTGGCCGTGGCCCCCACGCACGGCTCCCTCCTCATCGAGTGCGCCAAGCGTGAGCTCCACGCCACCACGCCCTTGAACAACCCCGACAGGACCGACCCCACTAGGATCTCACTCGTCTTCTACCAGCACAAGAGCATGAACGAGCCCAAGCACGGCCTGGCGCTCTGGGAGGCCAAGATGGCAGAGAAGGCCCGGGAGAAGGAGGAGGAATGTGAGAAGTACGGGCCCGACTACGTGGCCCAGAAAGCCCACGGCAAGAAGGTGAAGCGGGAGCCCACTGAGCCGCACGAGCCGCACGAGCCCACCTACCTGCGCTTCATCAGGTCCCTGGGCGAGAAGACCAGCTCGGTGACCACCGACTCCACGGTCACCACGGCCCCGTACGCCTTCACGCGGGTCACTGGGCCATACAACAGGTACATCTGAGGGCGGCCCTGGCTGCGGTCTCAGGGGGACACGGTGGGGTCGGGTCGCAGTCTCACGGGGAAGCCTCGCTCACCAACAAGAGAGCACACTCATCCTTCCCTAGCACTTAGATCCGCTGACCCGTCTGCAGGAGGCATCAGGAAAAAGACCAAAGCATTCTATGCAAGAAGAACAAAGCGAGGGGTGGGAGGGTGCCCCACAATTTACATTTTTAAACACTGGTTCTATTATCGGGCGAGATGCTATGTAAATGTGATTCCTCCCCCCCTAACCCCCCCCACACACAGCTCTACACATCTGTGACCACTTTTAATAATACCAAGTTTGCATAGTCATGGAACACAAGTCAAGTACTGTAGTATTACAGTTGCAGGAATCTTAAAATACCATCTGGTGCTGAATCTATGATATACTGAAATACTGGAATTATGGTTTTTAACATGCAGTTTTTACTGTAATCTTAATATTAACTTTTATTTATCAAAATAGCTACAGGAAGCAAACATGAATAGCAACAAAACACTGAATTTGTTTGGGTGTTCTACGAAATGGTGCTAAGAAAATGGTGTCTTTCATAGCGAAAAATTTAATGCCTTTTTATGATTGAGATGCTACCAATGTACTCCAGTACCCCAGAAGGAAAGGGGTGCCTTTTCGTTCAAGTTTTTATCCTGAATTACCTGTTCTTACATAAGTTTAGTTTTAAAAATGTGGACATTTTAAAGGCCTCTGGATTGTGCTCATCCAGTGACGTCCTGGAGGACAATAAACATGTATGTACATCTATACACCCACCTTTGTACATGTGCACATACAGGTATATATAAATATTTTAAATGGTGTTTTAGAAGCACTTTGCCTACCTAAGCTTTGGCAACTTGAACAATGCTAAGGTACTCAGACGTTTAAAAATAAAAGTTTACTTTCATTTGAAGATGACAATTTTTTCTAAAGGAAACAAAGCTTTTAAAACATTTTTGCTTTTGGTCCCACGTCTGTTGATGAGCAATGGTGTTCATTATTAACACAGCCAGTTAAATCCGAAATGAGGCATACAGGATTCAAGGGATTGTGTCAGTCCACAAAACATGTTTTCTGGTGCTCACCTCATGTGCTATACTGTAAAACAGTTTTCTACAAAGTTGTGAGACAAGTTCATTGCTCAGACATGTCAGCTATAAGAACTTCCTGTTAGACACAGGTCATAATGAGCTGCATACTCCGCTTGGCAGAGCCTGTCCACTTGAGCCTACGCTATGGCAGGGTTCTGTATGCTGCTCAGAAGCTAAATGGCCTTTGCCTTTGTGTTGATAGCTCTGTACCTTGGGATATTATCATGTCTTAGCTTAAGTGTCCTCCTTACCAGGAAGATTGGGTGGACTGATTCTGGCAAAAAGATGAATAAACAGGGTTAGTTCTGTGTGTGTCTGTTGGTTAAAAAGAAATAAATAAAAATAAAATAAAATAAAATAAAACAGGCAGCTGGTTTGCTGTAGTGGTTTTAAATCATTAATTTGTATAAAGAAGTGCAAGAGTTGTATAGTAAATTAAATTGTAAACAAAACTTTTTTAACGCAATGCTTTAGTATTTTAGTACTGTAAAATAAATATATACATATATATGGAATTGAATTCAAACTCACATCATGATGGTGCTACTCAGCCTGCTACAATTATATCAAAATGTGAGCTGAAAATTCATGAAAGGGTTGAGTGATATTTCTACTTGCCATATACCTCAACACTAGTTTGGCAATAGGATTTTGAACCAAGAGTGAAAGCTTATAGCGTTGTGTACCATCATTTTTTTTCCAAGTCTTTTTATAATTATTAAAAAAAAATACCTTTTTTTTTCAGTACTTGATTCTTAGCAAGTATAACTTGAACTTCGACCTTTTTGTTCTAAAAAATCAGGGATATTTCAGCTCCCCTCATTCATGCCAACACGTCACCTGTGTTTGTGTAAAACTGTTGTAGTTAATAAGTACATTCTTTTTCAGGGATTTGGCCCTCTTTATTTTGAATCCCTCCTATTTTACTTGTACTGATGTAAGTAAGACTGATTTTTGTAAATCTGTTGGCTGTTAATTGTAAAGAAACGCGTGGAGACTCTTTTGACTATTTCAAGGAGGAAAAATATTACATGAACATAGAATGCACTGAGCTGATAAAGGGAAAAGTGTAAGCTAGGAGTTTAGGAAGTAGCTGTTGGCCAGAGTATCGAAACTCTCCGTAACGCCTTTCTGACCGGATGGTCAATACAGACAAATACTTCACGAGGACTTCCGTAAGCGGGCCTGACGCTGAGGCACGGGGTCCAATCAGACTGTACAATTTCATTTAGCACTAAGTACATTTTTGCTTACTAGCTTTTCACATAAATTCTCAATCAGTGAAAACTCTTGGGTTTTATTGGTTAAATTTTTAATCATTGCAGACTTTGGGTTTTATCGGTTAAATCTTTAAATCAGTGGAGGCCTTTCATTTCTAGTGGTCAAATCTTTATAAGATGATCTTTGTCTTTTAAAAAGCTCTCAAGTTTTTGGCTGTGTCCAATTTATAAGCATTTTTAAGCCATTTGCTTTGCATCCAAATCAAATGCAAATTGTTGTACTGTTTTCCATAAACTATGGTCTAACCCGGAGCACTGCGCGTGCGTTGGTGATGTCGAGTCAGCCATCTGCTGAATATTTGTGACTGTGTGATCCACTGTCATTTTCAAACTGCTGGCCAACAAGAGCAGGAGTGTAGTTTGGGTAGGTGGGAAGAGGTTAGGTAGGAAGGGAAGAAGTTGAGTGTCGTATTGTAAATACCAGACCTATAACTGTACATATCTAGCCTGCCTCAGAATGAATGGAAAGCCCATCTGCAGTTTGCTTATATAGGAATCAGGTTGACTCTATGGCCATACTTGAAGATGCTTCAGTGGTGGCAACTTTACTTGAATGAATTTTTCATCTTGATTGAACGCACAGTGACATACAGTTCACTTCTAAAAGCTAGTGGCTAACTTTGGTAGGAAATGTTTGCATTTGGACACTAAGATAATGAACTTCTGTGTGCATTTTCCTATGCTTTATTTTTTTTTTTAACTTAGTCTCATTTCATTTTCATGAGATGTTTGGTTTATTTGTAAAATCTGAGGATGGTTATAAATACTGTAAAGTATTGTAATGTTTATGAATGCAGGTTATTTGAAAGCTGTTTATTATTATATCATTCCTGATAACGCTATGTGAGTGTTTTTAATAAAATTTATATTTATTTAATGCACTCAAAGTGTCATGTTGCTGCAGTTTCCGTACATTTCTTGAGAGCCCGCTACTTCCCTAAAGTTAAAGGGAATGAAAAAAATTGTTTAAATAACTTTTACTCATCCATTTGAAAAATATCTCCCTATTTCCTATTTATCTGTCTCCTATTTTGCTCTTTATATATGTTTTTAGTTTCTCATTAGAGAAACCATGCAATATTTAAGCTTATGTGCCTAATTTTCCTTAATATTAGGGTCTCAGGGTGCATCCACTTAACTGTATGCCTCTACTTTATCCTTCTTCAAGACAGAGTAGTACTCCATTGTGTATAAATATCATTCTTTATCCATTCATCTGTTGATGGAGCGGGGAGAAAAAAGAAAATAGAGCTTTTCAAATGGTAAGGGAACCAAGATTTGGAAGGCACAGGGAGGGAGGCAAGGGGTAGGTAACAGCAACAAAAAAGATATGTACATGTACCAGCTCCCCATAATAAGTGTAATCATGTACTACAAACATGGACTAATAAAGAGAACTTTTCAGATAGTCCTAATGTCAAACTTTGTGACTCAATCACCAGATATATATGTGCACACCTGTAATCCCAGCACTGAAGCTGAGGCAGGAGGATCACTGTGAGTTGGATCTATGTAGCTGAGCCTACATAGTGAATTCAAGGCCAACCTGAAATATGTAGCAAAATCCTATCTCAAAAGTTGAAAGTTGAATAAATATATCCAAATAAGTATATCACCCAAGTAGGGCAGAAGACTCACCCTAGAGTCTAGGGTCTAGATGTTGGCTCAGGTTTTCCCGGCCTGCTTCACAGCCTGTTCGCATGGTGCGGGTAGACGGGAAGTGAGGGTTGGGGTGGGTCTTCAGTGGCCCTGTGGGGACTGTGCAGGAGGACTCCCGGGTCCCAGGTGCTCAGACCACGCCCACCTCTGCATCAGACTCTCAGCTTCCTGTTCCCACCCTTCCTGTGCCTGCCAGAAAGCAGGCAACAGACAGTGCGCAAAGTGGGCAGGAGCGCCTGAGGGCCTCCAAACTGGTCCCCTCGTCCCATCCCACTTGCACCCCAGCCCAGACTGGCAGAGAAGTCGCTCATGCCACCACAGAGCCAGGGAATTCCAGGTCACTTGCTTCCCTTTCTACTTAGCCAGGCCAAGTTTGATTCAAGGAGTACAACCCACGAAATGAGGACCAGACCATTTAGCAACCTCTGCGCTCGCTGCCTGGGAGATGCATCCAGTACTCTGCTCCAAGCCAGTATTGATGAAGAGAAGCAACATTACTGTTGAAAAGCAGTTTTCATTTTTCTTTAAACTTCTGCCCACAGGACTGATATCCACCCTCATGCCCTTGCCTGTCATGCGGCCTGACCGTGGAAAACACACACACACACACACACGCACACGCACGCACGCACACACACACACACACACACACATACACATACACACTTGCACATGAAATCTCCACGGCCTGGTGGGGAGAAGTTGACAGGTGCAAAAGCTTTTCCTGCCTGGGCCCTATCCTGAGTCAACCGTGGTACAGGCTGGGTTGCCAGATGGGTTGTTGATGAGCCGACAGGGGAGACAGACAGCTGGGGACAGCGAAGAGTCCGCCATTCCTAACACTTTAGGAAGAATTGCCACAAACAACCCTTCCCGAGCAGGTAGGCAGTGCACAGCTCCCCAGCACACGGGGCCACTTGCTGCTTCTTTCTCTTGCCTATGTGTGGTCCACTGTTTAGCAAACCTTCCTCTGCGGGTCATCCCAGCTTCACTCTAACTCCTCCCTAACCACTGCTCTGAACACCCAGCCATGCAAAAGTCACTGCGCAGCAGGGCCCTGAGACATTCCTATGGGGGAGCCTGGTTTGAAAGCCATCAGAGGCACTCAAAAGAGACTGCTGTGGAAGCCTCTTAGCTTTCGTAATGAAGGCGAGGGCAGGCCTCGGTGCATGGAGCTTCTTCCTAACTTCCGGCTCCCCATCTGTGAAGGTTGGTGCAGGTTGTTCCGCTGGCACTCCTTTCTTTCTGTAAAAACACACGTTGCAGTGGAAACACAGATAGAAGACACTCGGGAAAGAATTAACTGCAGTTTTCACTATTTCAGTTTTCCCAGTATAGATCAGTTGCAAAGCAGCAAGTGCTTTTTGTTCTCATACATTTGAAGTCACCTGCTTCAATCCCCCTGCCTCACCAGCTAATTTCTCACAGATGTCTTTGGTCATTAGCTCAACATTCACTCTTTCAAGAAACCCCTGTTCCTTGCATGTAGTCTTGACAAACAGGCTTTCTTCAGGGCCCCTTGGTATACTGTGGTGGGGGTGGGGTGGGGTCGGAAGAGGGCAGGACCTGCCTGCTAACAGGGAGACATCAGATGGCCCTATAACCCAGGCCTCTCCAAAGTTCCCACTTATTACCCCATTGTGGAAGATTGTCCACTTAGCTTATGAGTAAGGCAGCTAGTGAGTGGAAGGGCCTGAGATGGAGCACAGCGACCAGCCATACTGATGAAAATTCAGAACAGACAGTGAACGAAGACTTTGGACAAAGAATAGATTTCCTCAGGCAGCGTGGAATACAGCTCACTCCCTACTAAGATCCTAAAGGAAGGTGCAGCCACGTCCAACCAAGATCCTGAATTTCAAATTATAATGCAAATTAACCAGTTCTTTCTGAGACCCCAGGTTACAGTAAACACCGTGCAGGGCTGGGCTGAAGAACTCGAGTCCCAGTTGGTCATTTTAAGTCCACGGAGGCACCTGTGATAGCTGACCACGAAACCAGCTCCTGTGCCCTATTTGCCTTAAGAAATTCTAAAGGAGAAGCCATTTAGCAGCCCACCCCAGACCCTTCCTGTCTCTCAGGAGCTATTTCTATTCCCCAATAAACCTTTCCTACTCTTAACCCCCTTTGTCCTTCAGAATTCACTCTTCAATTTCAGGGAATACATGTGACATCTAGCAGTTTGGGTGTTATACTTCTCCTATGTCATCATGAGGCTGTAGGGGGGCATCTAGACCTAAACCATAATAGTGGTATATAGAAAAATCAGTGATTTTTGTATCCTGCTACTTTAATGAATTTAACAGTTCCAATAGTCTTTAGGTGAATTTTTGCATTTACATATATATATATATATATATATATATATGTATATATATAATATTTTCTGCAGTTTGACTTCCTCCTTTCTTACTTGTATACTTTTTATTTCTTTCTCTTGCCTAACTGAGGAAGAAATAAATATCCATGTTGTAGATATAAAAAGCTTTAACAAAAGTTTTTTGTTAAAAAAATCGGAAATCTTCTACGCCATGATGAAGTTGGTTCCATTCCACAATGCCAGGATGGCTCAGCATTTGCAGATCAATAAGCAATAAATCACATCAACAAAATAAAGGATAAGGGTCTTATGATCATCTCAACAGATGCAGAAGGACATTTGCTAAAACTCAGTATGCATTCATGATAAATTCCTGTCTAAGTTAGGGATACAGGATCATACCTGTACATAATAAAGACTGTGTACGAGAGACCCACAGCCAATACTGAATGAGGGAAAGCTGAAAGCACGTCCTCTAAGATCAAAAGCATGACAAGTCAGCCACTGGCAGAAAGAAAGAAAGAGAGAGAGAGAGAGAGAGAGAGAGAGAGAGAGAGAGAGAGAGAGAGAGAGAGAGAGAGAAGAGAGAGAAAGAAAGAAAAAGAAAGAGAGAGGAAAGAAGGAAGGAAGGAAGAGGAAGTGCCATAAAACATACTGTGAGGCTAAACCCCGAGCAGTGACGGAGACCACCAGGACAGGCAAGATTGAAGCAAACAGCGATATCTTTATTTCAGGTTGGGTGCAACCTGGCCAAGGGTTAAAAAGCCACTGGTCCCAAACAAAGGAAGGGGGCCTACTTTATAGACCATTTTAGGTACGGGAGGGGGAAATTCCATGGAGGAAGGTGGAAAATTTCAGTTTCTCAGGGGTGATTGTGGGTCTGGTGCCTCTGAGGGAGGGAAGTATAGGAAGACATTGGCATGTTGCTGATTTACAGCATGGTATTCTGTAGACTCACGAGGTTTCCTATAAGCCTGAGAACTAGGCCTGGGAATCATTCTGATAAACAGATTTACCTTAGTCTCTTGAGCTGAGTGAGGGGCTTTCTGTTTGAACAGAGTGGTTGCCTGTGGAGTTCTTCTCTTCAAGTTGGGTGGGGTACCATGTGAAGGACCTCACACATACATTAGAGAAAGGAGAGCCTCTTTAACAAATCTTGCAGGGAAAACTAGATACCCACATGCAGAAGATTGAAACTTAACCTCTCTCACCCTGTATGAAAGTTAACTCAAAGGGAATCAAACACCATAATGTAACGTCTGAAACCAGTAGAAGAAATAATAAGGGAAACCCATCAAAACTTGATACACGGGCAGGATCTCAAGGAGGGGGCCAGCACCTGGGAAGGTGGCATCTGAGCCATCTTGTGAGGTCCAGGGCTTTTGTGAGTCACAAGGGGGAAACTCAAGAGCAAGCCCTTGGGTTTGAGGTGGGGGACAGAATCCCAACTAAAGAGAAGAGTCAGAGTGTATAAAATAAGGCAGAGATGCATTTTGCTCAGTCCATCAGAAAATATTTCCTGGGACACACTAGGCCTAGGGAAGTTTGGAAAATAAATCACATGAGAGCTCTGCCACCCCCAGGCTGTGGGTGGGAGCTGCCATGGTGCCGGCCATGAGTAAACGAGATCAGGGTTCATGGGCAGGGAGCTAAGCTGGCTTTGAGCTTTCTCAGAACAACAGGCACAAGGCACGGCCACATCTAGGGTACACGAAGTCCGTGCAGAGCATGGAATGGCGGCGATGTTCAGATGGGAACACAGGACAGAGCGACCCTGCCCGAGGGCCCTCCCTTGGAGGGGAAGTTCCCATCTCACCACAGGAGGGCACCTCTTCTCTGGATAGACTCATGTAAAATGACCAAACATAAAATGATTTAAATGCAATGAGTGGGAGAGAACAAG